CTCTGCACTCGTTTGCCAGCCTACACTGTTTTTCCCTCCCAGATAGAGACCATGTTTTTATAGACGTCTGTCTGTGCTTGTCACTTGGTGTGTCTTGATCCCTCGCGTTCAGCTGGTAGCACATGACTCTGTGTGTGGGGGGGCACTCTGTGACAGGAGCACCACGTAGCCATCCTTCTTTTCTTAGGGGCCCAAGCAGCGCAGCTGATAGATTGCTTTTGTTCTTGATTTTATTTTTCTTCCCAAAGTCATCCAACCCAGTGTTCCTGAACCTGGTCCTAAGGGCCCCCCAACAGTCAACGTTTTGGCTCCCTCTCAGCTCTCTGTCTGGGGGGGGGGGTCCCTGAGGACTGGTTTGAGAAACACTGATCTAACCTCAGCCAAGTGGTCTGACTGGTGGTTTGTCTTTTCTCGCTCTAGGCTCCTTGCTTTGTCCATTGTCATCCCTCCATCCCACTCTCTGTTTCCCCCATCTCTCCTGCGGCTGCCATATTTCTTCGCCGCCCCATGATCTTAATGTTGTGAATTCAGCTGATTGAATGTTAGTTTTACTAGCCACTGGCTTTGTTAGAAGTTGTGTGGCTCCCGCTCCCATTACTGCTTACACTTGAACCTGGGTTCCCTTTGGAAGGTCAGCCTAGCTGCACTTATGCCCAACCGGCTCCTTGACAGGAAGTATGTTTGCAATGTGATATTTTCTTGACTTGTACGTTATTTTGGACAGAAGAGTGTGCTAAAAGTATGTGTCTTCCCACCAACGTCTGTTCATTCTTTCCTAGGGATCAGTTCCCTTCCTCTTTCTAAACTTACAACCCTCTTCCGTCTCATTCTTCCTTTTCTTTGGCACTTTAGAAGATCATGGAGGATGCCAAGGCCCTGCTGCCCATACAGTACCTGCCAGTCGGATCTATAAGACTCAGCAGGGCTTTTCCTGAGCATGTGTCTGAAGGATTCGGAACTTTAGTTTTACATTTAATAATGATAATTATTATTGATCCCCATGGGGAAATCATCTTTATGCCTCCCTCAACTTGCTCTTTGTAGAGTAAGCTGTCCGTGATGGGCAGCCACCTGTGGCAGTGCCCAAGGGGCTGGGGGTTAAGGGCCTTGCTCAAGGACCTGTAGACATGCTGAGGCTGCGTTTAAACTGGTGACCGTCTTCTGATTACAGGCACACAGGCTTAGCCCACTGAGCCACACACTGCCCCAAATTGTCCAAGTTGGGTATCCTTGACAGTTGGGATTAAGGGCCTTGTTCAAGGGCTTGATGGTGGCATCACTCTGAAATTTGAACTGACAACTTTCCAATTACAGGGAAACCACCCCCTCCCATATTACAGCATATTGGTAACCATACACTTCATTAGTTATTGAATAAAACAGGTTAAAACTAGGCTGTTAGCACTAACTTCACCGTTCAATTTTACTTGTTGACTCTGGTTAGGGTAACCAATTTAGTTGCAGGGGGAAAGACCCTTACATTGCTTTTGGCTATAACCATACACAAATAGATTGGGTTTAATGTGTGGGTGTTATCAGCTGACTTTCTCTCTTGTCACGTATGCCACGTTACCCATCTGACAGTAAACAAAACTGTTTAAATATGGCATTTTCCTGTGTGCTCACTACACAAATGAAAATGAAAGGCTCCCCAGGGGCCTCGAGTTGTTCACCCCCAAGTGTGTTTATCACATGATTTTTGTCATGCCCTGCATCCCTTCCCCCCTCGTTCACTCCTCACTCTAACGAGCCACACCAGTTACTTGTTTAATCCTGCCTCTCGTTACAGCCCTCGTGTGGATCACCCCAGCTGCCTCTCGTCTGCTCCCTCGTCAGTGATATATAAGGTGCCTCCCTGTCTCGAGCTCCCCAGTCCAATCATTGATGTTACTACCTGCATGTGCTCCCCAGTGTGTCCTGTGCCTAGTGTTCCTGCCTGATCCGCCCTACTCCGTTTTGACCTTTCGTGGTCTGTTTCCATTTCCCTGCCTGTATCGTACTTTTTCCTAATAAAGCCCCTTTTGGTCTTCCCCACGCCTGTCTTCAGCTCGGTCCTTGCCCTCGGTGTGACAATTTTCATAAGCTGGCTGCTCTGGCTTTTCATGCACTCCCGTTTGGTGTTTTGGAAACATTATCCCTATCCGGGTTGGTAAACACTGCTTTCCAGGTTTGGGGTTTCCTCTGGCTGCCTCCCTCATTACATCGCAATACAATACAATTACGATGACAATTAGGCTTGTCTGTGGTGTGTTCGATCTGTACATGTATGCGTCCTGTGATGCAATCCAGCCTTGTGCCATGTGTTGCATGGGGATAACTCCAGCATCCGCCCCCCTCCACTCACCCCCACTCCTCCAAACCTGACCAGCATAAGAAGCTGAAAGATGGATGGACAGTAGTGGTTTTGTCCCAAAAAATTTCATGCAAAATGCTTCAAGCAATTTCAAAGGCCAAAATAAAAGCGTCGCAACTCCAGGGTGCGATCAGTAACGCTTACTACTGTCATCCATGTTGCCTCTATTTCCTTCCTCAAAATCGCTATGGTGGTGTCTCAGTTATCAAGTTCCCAACACATTCATGTAGTTAATGTCCCAGATGGATACTGGTTCAGTGGCTAATGTATAACAGATTCTGCCCTGAGGGCAGATTAAATCATAGGACACAGATAGAGCAGAGGACCTTGGTTAATATTTGTCCTTTTTCAAAGGGACATTTATTTCGCTTCTGTTGCCGTTGACAGTGTGCAGGAATAAAGGTCTAATGTTGTGTGAAGGCGTTTGTACTCATTGTTACTCTGTAAATGGGGCAGAGGCGCTAGTAGAGCTCTGCAATTTTTGCATGTAGCCAACAGAGTGTTTAATAGTGTGGCGTTAATGAAATGACGGCTACTGAATATGTGGCTTTCGTTTCTTTTTTTCCTGTGCTGCTTGCAATCCCCCTTCCGCGTGACTTGTAGCTATTACTGGCATAGTACGCGGCATTAATTCTTCCTTCCGCTGCAAAGTGCACTGAGCTCGGCTGTGTTTACTGCTGCTGAAGCAGGAAGTGCGGGACTGTGGTTCATTCTGCAGCCCTCAGAATTTCCCTCTCGCTTGATGTGTAGAAAGAGCGCGCAGCAAAAAACAAAGTCAGCTGTCGGGTGGTGGGGCTGTTTCTAGATAAATTCACAGCAGCCAGCAAATCCCCCATCTGACTAAGGCCCATCCAAAGATTTGTGGACTTTTTTTTTTTTTGCTGCATTTGTGTTTGGTGGAACATGAATACCTTTTAACTGCAGAGACCAAATGAAATGTACCTTATTTCGAAAGATCTACCTCATTCAACAATGGGCAGTTATCTCTCCAGAAATACCGTGGTTTTTCCCATTCCCCTATTTTCCTGTTTCTCACTTTTCATTTCTGAAAAAATAAATGAAACGCATATTTTTATCGTCAACAATTTGAAGGTCAAATGTAGCACAATGCAGCAGGTGCACGCCGCCAAAAAATGAACAGCCATCTGGGCACCAACATCTGAAAGTTTTAATACATGCAAAATATGCAATGTGTTACAATCAAACTGAAATCAATGCAATTGTTGTTCAGAGAATGCCAGGTTCACGTGAATTTTTGGATGGTCTTGTTCTGAGATGTTGGGAACTTCCCACACGATGGTGCAAGTACAGTGCGTGTCACTAATGTGAGAACACAAAAGCACTTTATCTGCACTGCTCACATAGACTGGCATGAGGTGCCTTCAATACTCATCTCAAATTAAAGAACATAGGTTGTCGTCTCAGTGCACCTCACATTAAGGGAATTTCAGAGAGACTTCTGTGTCAATGTCACAATATGGGACACATACTGTGCCCAGCCGGGAAGCCCTATAATGTTCTTCCACCTTCATGTTGATTGTTCTAGGTAGGTAGTGACAGGGGCGGATTCTGCCTTTGGAGCTTCTGTATGTCACAGAGGAGTCCCCGCCGTCTGCTGTAGAGTGTCTGGATCTAACATCGTCTGACGGCACAAGGTACATCGCAGCCCAGAATCTCCAGGATCACATTTAGTTTGAACTAACTTGAACATGTCACTAGTTTTGTGAGGGTTTCATTTCTCATCTCTCCCCGCACATGTTACCCAGGCAAACTTCTTGTTTTTTGTTGCATTTCCTTAACTTCTTGTGCTTGTTTATAAAATGCTGTCCATCCGAGGATAAGCCACAGCAGACCTGGTGCAGGCTGGCTGCCTGCGGCAATCTTAGGGGTTTTACTGTTCCTGATTCAGCAAAATTCAGCCTCTGCTGTCTGTCCTATACACCAAAAAAAAAAACCTGGGGCAGCTTTTATGACCAATAAAAATGGTTATTTCTGTGAAAAACACACACATATGAAATCCATCCTTGATACTAATCATCCTTATTATTGTTATTTTTTCTCAATGGCCTCTTTTTTCCATTTAGTGTTTCCGTGAACCAGAGAATATTCCAGAATAATTTCAGATGTGGCACTCCACCTCACTCGCACATAGTCTGATCCACTCAAACTGTGTTTAAGGATGCTTGGCTACTGGAAAAGGGTAGGCATCATGGCCGACAGCGGAACCACGTCTGTCATCTGAAAAAGGGTGCTTGTGTAGTTCCTGGAGATGCGATGCCTGATATGAAAAGGTAAATCCGGTCGTGTGAAAGCATCCACAGATCATCTCAGAAACCAAGTAAAACGAAACATTTTCGATTATCGTAAGTCAGGTGATCTGCCACCATTAGTATGAATCCCCAGTAAGCAATCTGAGCGTTTTTTTTATAATTGTCATTATACAAGCACTTCTTTCTGTAATTACCTGAAATGGCAGCCACTATATCTTTTAAATATACCTGTCATAAATGACCATATTTAAACCAAGTATGATTGAGGATCTGAAATATCTGGTTACTTTCTACTCTTGCATTTTCACAGTGAAGCTGTACAGAGTCGTTTTGTGGGTGTAAAGTCTGATTCTCAAGCTGAAAAAGACAAAATGATGTATAACTAATTTATGAGACATTTTATTGTAATACTAAATACAAAAAATACTGCATAAATATGACACAGTGAATGTATTCCAACATATACAGACTTAAGTGTGTAGTTGTCCATAAATGCAGGAAAGATCTCAGGTTGACCTTGGAATAATACATAACATTTCACATATTTGAGTTTTGAGTTTGGCTGTCATCCAAAAACTGGCTACATCCAGTTATCCGTCCAACGAGGGGCCCTTCCGCGCAGCATAACTCCCCATGTACTCGAACGTAGAGAGAACTCCATGAACCGGTCCAGTGCCTGGTCACTGTTTCCTGGCTGGGTCATCTTGCCCGGGCCAGCGGGTCTCTAGGGCTAACAGCGGCCTCCTCAGCTTGGGACACATGCTCGCCCGGCGGTAAGGATCCGTACCCTCTGGTGTACATCTCGCTATCCTGGGATATGTTCATCACGCTGTGTTTTCTTTTCCCCATTTCCTCATGTGCCATCTTTCCAGTCATACAGGTGTTGCAGGAGGCGGTATTGAGATGAGAGTCTCCGAAGCAATGGCCTTTTCCCTGAAACAAAATCGAGCCTGTTAATGTTTACAAATACCTAATGTTTGCACTGGGCTCCCATGACCATCTCTGTGTACCCAACATGCCACTGCCTTCTGATCCATGTTTTACCGGGAAAGGTCTTTTCTAGTGCTTCCTGGTCTTATTTTAGTTTCCTGTTGGTTATTTACACAGCTATTGTGTCTATATGCATTGAGCCACCTGTGATCACAGGTTTCCCGCATTTTATGCTGCGACTTGACAAGTGCGCTGGATGCTCAGATGAAAATTCAATAAAGGCGGTGCTTCTGGAGAATGTACCAGAGTCATAAACGAAATTTCTGAAAATAACAAGTGACAAGGAACTAGAAATACAATGATGCAGAATGATAATCTGGTTTTTCCTAGATACTTTCGAACTTTGTTTTCATTCGAAAAGCATAAAGCGAGAAAAGTGAGTAAAAATTTGTACCTTTGCTTGTCACTGTATCCTCATCCCCGAGGTACAAACAACAATAATGTACCTCCAATGGTACAAAAAGGTTCCTCAGGGTCCTTTTCTGTACCTTAAAACATACAGTCACCTACAGCTAAGGGTACAATTGCCAGATCCTTGTCACTGTACAGCCCCAGTAACAAGCAAAAGTACAAATTCCTACCCTTTTTTTCTGAGAGTGTGGAATCAATTATCTTAAACTTAACAACTTACACATATTGTTGTGTATTCAATTTCATAATTTTTGTTTCCTTAAAACTTTGACCATGTTCTTTCCTTTCCTAAAGTGTTTGTTCTCCCAACTTACTCCCATTTTGCTTAACCACTGTACTCTAGCTTTGGGTTAAGCATTGGGGGGTTAAGGTGCCCACCCATTTAAGGGGGTTCAGGGGGTTGTATTGGCTGGTTGTGAATATTGGGGGGGGTTACATCCCCCCCTCACAATTTACGCCCATGCTCTCGTCTGTGTTAGACACTTACCTTGCTTGGGACTGCACCCTGACCTGCGTGGTCCGCACGGTCCATTCCACGAGGCTCTTTAAGTTGCACCACAGCTGAGGGAATCGCCGATGCATGTCCTCCAGCAGCTCATCGTTGCGCAACCCATACACAATGGGGGCGATGCACTGTGCCAGGCTACAGAAGGCGAAGATGACCACTCCATACAACTCTTTGTCCCGGCGTTCCAGGTATTTGTTCCTCTCCAGGCTGTGCAACAAGAAGTTCACAAAGTTTGGGAGTAGATAGACAGCGAGCTGGGTGCCGTGCAGGGCGATAGTTTTGCAGGCGACGCTGTTGCGCCGGTTCAGCACTCCCAGACGTCGGCTCTCTTGAAAAGTCCTGATATAGCTGAAGATGATCACAGCTAAGCAAGTAGTTATTAAAAGTATTTTGTGAATCTCGCCTTTCCTTAGATGCTCTCTGTCGCATCGAGCATAATCGATATCATCTAACTTAAAGAAAAGACTCAGGGGGATGATCAGCGCCAAACCCCAAGTCAGCAGTCCGGTGAGCCACGGCCACTGCCACGAGCATGTGGAACTGTATTTCAGCGGGAAACATACGGCGTAGTAGCGGTCCAGGGCCATGGCGGTAAGGGTGAGAAGGATGTTGGAAGCGCTGGAGATAAGAATTGTTATAACGGTCCTGCAGGCAGCGGCAGAGGTTTCTAACTGAAGGTAGATCTGCAGGTAGAAAGCAGAGCATACAGCAAAATAGACGAGCGCCGAAAATAAAAGGTGAAAGATGAGGACGAAGCGCGCGTGCCCCCGGAGTCGCTCCTCGCGCATTATAGTCCAGTTTATTATGACGTTGAAAAAAGCCATGATTATAAAACATACGCCCGATGCATACACGCGTATATCAGGATAATAATTGATTGTGTCATTTGTCGTATTTTTCTCCATGATCACACTTCTTTGCTGTAGTTTCAAGTACCCTGTAGTTTCAAATGCCGTCGCATTTCAAATTTTACATACTTAATTTCCACAAGATGTCCACAAAAATCTTCTTACATCGTAATACTCTTGTATTGTTCCGAGCTTCTTTGATCGCTGTTTAAAAATAATAGGCTTAGGTCATTTATATAATTATTACTCCTCGATGCGTTCTCTTCCTACACGTCTTTCTTTTTCATGTTAAACACTGTGCTGAGATCTTCCTCTCTGCTGTGAACGCTGCTCTATCGGAATGACTGACAACACCCGCCTTAAAAAAAAATCTGACGTCACCTACAGGGTCTAATATCTTACCGAAGTACAACATGCAAGAAAGCAGACCCATTAACTAGAAACTTAGTGCTACTTATTACTACTTATTACTGCCTATTAAGTTTGTTACTGGATTACTCTTCAACATTAAAAGTCACCCGGTGTATCAGAATAATATCTGTTTAATTTATTTATTGTAGTTACGTATTATGTACGTGGTTACAATACATTTTCATTTAGATATTAATATATAGACGTAAACACATGTATGTTTTAAACAACCATATTAGATAAATTAGAGTAACAATTTGTGCGTTTCGCTTTTAGGCCGTATATACCTTGAATGCATAGTTATAAAAACTTTCTTAAAATTGACAGTTATCAAAACTTTCTTAAAATTAAAGTATCAGCCTTTAAGTATATTTTCTTATATGAATGAAATTTATGTTTCTGCATTATATTTCTGAGAAAGCTGGAATTACCTTGATGATTATTTATATATCTAATTACTTTGATGTTTCTCTTGTTCACGGCACAATGTTACAGTATCTTGTCATTTGAAATTATGTTTGACCACAAAGCCACCATCCTAACTTCAATGTTACCATATTCTAATCCCAAACTAACTGTTAAGTATTGTCTTTTGCTGATCTGTAATGATTCATCATAACTATCTGTGCTTAAAATATAGAGCTTTAGAGGTGAAAGGTACTTTTTACTCAATTAGTCTGTCGGGCCACAAAGTATAGAAATTAGTGACAGGCAGTTCCTAAACTTTAGTCATTTCAACATGGAGCTAAAAGAATTGTTGAGTTCTTTTATTTCTCTTTTAATTGGATGTAAATTTCGAATAGTATAAGCCTTGTATATCTAGCATTGTGCTACAGATTTGCAGTTTTGCATTATGTTTCAAAGCATGTAGGTTCTGATGTGTCTGTAGCATAAACTAATAACTTTGAACACAATGATATGAGTCACATTATTGACATTAATACCCAAACCCACCACACATAATTCCCGCACATGGGGCAAAATTACCCCACGATGTCCTCCCCCGGGAACCCCCCTAGGTCCGGGCCCAGGAAAACTTCCCCAGTTGTCTCCCAGAGAAGACAGGCCTCTTAGGCTAGTGTCAGTCCGGAACCAGTTTAACGTACATTTTCATTGAAATTCGTTCTTTCGGCTGCAAGCGTGTTGGCCAATTGAAACATAAACATGATGTTTCCTCATGTAGAACCAACCAGTGATAAAGCATCTGGGTTATATTCCCAGACTGTTTATACAAAGGAAACAGTTTCAACTGCACATTTGCAAAAGCTCATGCCAATATTATAGTGACATAGTGGCAATAAGAGTAGAAGTCATACCCAAGTTTTTGTACAGCTCGACTATTTTTCCCCCATGAGTAATGAAAATATAGAATTAAGGAAGTGAATGAAAAGGCTGTTGACTACAAAGTTTGGTTGTGGAGACCTTGTGTAGTTGTTTTCGTGAAACAACAGGCCATTACGCAAACAGAAAAAAAAAAACATTTTTAATATAGTAATTTAATAGTGTGGAAATTATGGATATAATTTGAATAGAAAATTTAAAAATCGGTTTGTGGTGATTTTATTGTTTTCTTTAAAAGCTGGTGTATATTTTGCGCAGGTCACTGTCTTATTGGGCGCATTTCTTCTTCAAAGTGAAAATGTGTAACCAATCTTGGCCATGAGAAGGGATTTATTCATTAATGTAAAGCAGCGAATGGAAAAACAGATTATTAAGTGTGATTGTACTGACCCCTTATGTTCTTTTATGAAATCGCAGATAATAATTCCACTTGCTCAGTAGGTACCGCTGTTCGCTCTCATATCCGCGGTTAGAAGTTCGTTTCCCCTCCCTCCCCTACTCTGTATGTGCCGAATTTGTCTTGTTTTGTTGATTTCTTGAAGGTGTCTTCCTGTGGTTTACATTTAAAAGACTGACAAATTGTTTACCAAGGAATCGGGAAAACTGAACTTAATGATGCTGTGTTTCAATGAACAGAAAATTATAAAAATACTGAAACAATTGGTTTTGCACCCGAACAGCCTTGATTAAATTCCTGTGGGCACCACAGCCCCCAGAATTCTTTTAAGCCAGTTAAGGTGGTTCAGGCATCCATCTAGGATCTCAGTCGTTAAGGGAAGGCTGGTGGAGCACCGGTTTTATGTCAATGAGGAGCCCATACCAACAGTGTAAGAGAAGCCAGTAAAGAGTCTCGGACGTTGGTATGATGCAACCCTCAAGGACACTGAACAAGTGGACCACCTTAGGCAGGAAACCATACAGGTACTGGAGCGTATCAACAAGACTATGCTCCTAGGCAGAATGAAGTCTTGGTGCCTTCAATTTGGGCTGTTACCCCGCCTCATGTGGCCTCTGACGGTCTATGAGGTCCCAATCTCAAAGGTCGAGAACCTTGAGAGGGTGGTCAGCTCATTCGCCAAAAAATGGCTGGGGCTTCCGAGATGCTTCAGTAACATCGGGCTGTATGGAAAAGACGTGCTTGAACTTCCTGTGTCCAGCATCGCAGAGGAGTTCAAGCGTTCCAAAGTGAGGGTGGAGATGAGACCCACAGGATCCAGAGACCCCTGCGTGGCCCAAGCAGCTCCTACTCTTGCGACCGGAAAGAAGTGGACCCCAACTGCAGATATTCAGCCGGCAGAGTCAGACCTCAGACACAGAGACATCATTGGCCTTGTGCAACAGGAGAGAGGAGGCCTCAGCCTTGGGGAGAGCAAACCATCCTGGCATAAGGCAACTCCAGCTCAGCGCCGAGCTCTGGTCATTGAGGAGGTGTGTCGACAAGAGCAGGCAGTAAGATGTGCAAAGGCTGTCTCACAATCTAGGCAAGGGCAGTGGATGAGATGAGAGGAAGTCGAGAGGAGGAAATTCTCACGGAGGGAGTTGAGGGGCATGGAGGCATTTCACACCAGCTTCATTCTATGGGCCATATACGATACCCTGCCCTCCCCCTCTAACCTCAAACAATGGTACAGAGAAGACCCCACATGCCCCCTCTGTCTATTCCCTGCAAACCTCAAGCACATTCTGGTCAGCTGCAAAACAAGCCTGTCACAGGTTCGGTACCCATGGCGGCATAACCAAGTCCTGAAGTGCCTGGCAGCTGTTCACGAGACCAGGCGGACAAAGACCAATGCCATGCCTCCTCTATCATCCCATCCTGCACCTGCTAGTGCATTCGCCCAAGAAGGGGCAATGCCAGCCGTAGTCCCCACAACATCAGATATTGGCCAGCTCGGAGGGGCACGAGACTGGAAGTTGGGGGCTGATCTGAATCAAAGATATTGCTTCCCATCTGAGATTCCCACAACGAACCTCAGACCAGATCTTGTGCTCTGGTTCTCGACACACCGCTTTGTGTACATCATAGAGCTCACTGTTCCCTGGGAGGATGCTGTGGGGGAGGCCTACGCCGCAAGAGCCTAAAGTACAAGGAGCTAGTGGCAGACGCCGAACAGCGTGGTTGGAAAGGCAAGATTTGCCCAGTGGAAGTTGGCTGGAGAGGCTTCGTGGGGAAGTCAACCATCAGGCTACTTAAGAATCTTGGTATTCGAGGTCAAGCCCAACAACAGGGAAAAAGAAGTATTTCAGCGAGTGCGAAGTGGAGGTCATGTTAACAGAAATCGAGAAAAGAAAAGTGATATTATTTGGTGGTATAAGTGGCATCAGCAATAAACGAAAGTTTACGGAGTGGCACAGCGTGGCGGAGTCAGTTTTTGGTTCAGAAATTCGCACGGTGGCCGAAATTAAAAAGAAGTGGTAGGACATTAAAATCAACGGCGGGAAAAACGAGCGGCCGCTCACCTTAAGAGTCTTAACAGCACAGGCGGAGGTAGCGGAATTCCCGGTCTCACACCCTTTGAGCAACTAGTTGCTGCGATGATTGGGGACACACTTTTATCGGGTGAGGGGGACGCCGATGTCATCGCGGGTGATTTTTTCTCGTACCATACTTGTTTGAATTACTTGCATGTTTATGAAAAACGCGTAGGGCGCAGATGCGGTGTTACTTTCGTTTATTCTGTTTGTTTATTCTTACAGACAACAGTACAAGAGGTGCCCCCAATACATTAATAGAGTACATTAATAGAGTGAAAGTGCTTTCCATTTACGAAAGCAAATTCGTTCACTGAAGGTTATAGCAATGTGCGCGCAGTCGATAGCTTCGACTACGTTGGGAAAACCGGACATCGCTGCAAATTGCGCTTTAATATTTGCCTGTTCAACCACAGTGTAAGGAAATTTTATATATCTGGGTGACAAGCGAATTATGCCGTCCCATACAGCCGGCATGGCGCGACTCAGAATTGACTGAGAAATACCCGATAGGTCCGCAAGTTCTCGCTGAAAAGCACCTGTGGCTAAGAACCCGCGAGTGGACAGAACTTGTAAAGGAACAGGTAGCCTATAGCGTAATTCCTCATCGTCTGCTTTTGTAATACTGTAATGTTTAGCACACAGCTCCAAAAGGATTGCTCTTGGAAATCTTAATTGACTTAGAAGCCAGTCATCATCATCATTATAAGCTATGTCTTTCAATAACACAAGAGCTGCCATGGTAGTTGTAATAGTTCGGTCATTTTCTGCACCGTTTTATTGTTACAAATTGATAAAAAAAAAATCAGCTGCCGTACATTTGTGAACAACATACAATTAATGTCGGTGTATTTGATAAAGTCAGCGTCATGATTGTGAGTCTGACACAGTGAAACTGCAGTAGCACTCTTTTGCCAGTAGGTGCCTCCATTTTGCCAAATCGAGCAGAAACTTGCGTACGCCTTGTCTGGGGTTGCCGTGAGAATGTGCGTGGCGGTACGCCAAGTTTAGTTTTTATACATCTCGACCTGAGCGTGGAAACGGGCGTGCGCAACATTTTTGTGCGTAAGCACCGTTTATACATGAGGCCCCTGGTGACCGTGGAGACCATTTGAGTACAATGAACTCATTGTCATGTTCAAGGAACCAGTCTTAGATGATATGAGCTCTGTGACATTTAGTACAAAGGGTGCCCAAAGTGTGACAAGAAAATATCCCCCTATCTTCCATTGTCCTATTTTGGGGAGCCTGTGCCCACTGTAGCCTCAGTTTCCGGTTCTTAGCCAACAGGAGTGGCACCCGGTGTGGTCTGTCTGGCACCAACAACTAGGCCATGATCAAAGGCACTTAAATCACCTTTCTTCTTCATTCAGCTATTTGACGTGAACATTACCCAGAGCTCCTGACATGTATCTGCATGATTTTATACATTGTGCTGCTGACAAATGCTTGATTGATTAGAAATTTTCTTCAACGGGAAGTTAAATATGTGTATCTAATATAGTGGCCAATGAGTGTGTAATAGCTTATGTCCTTGGAACATCGTGGTACCACTCCTGAACTGTAGTTCAGTGTAATGAGATAATGAGAGGGTCGTTCTCTCAGAAGAAAAACCTGCTGTTTTTGAGGAACGAAGGAAGTAGAAATCTGCTTTATACCTTGACGTTTCGGTATATGACCATGCAGAGCAATTGTCAGACTATCCATTGGTCAGTTGCCCTGCCTGGAATCTGTTAAATTCATGGTGTGAGCTCAGCTGATGTGGGCGCCAGGTCAGGCCTGATGTCTTTGGCACCACAAGTAGTTTACATTTAGTGTATGCTGTTTTTGGTTTTTTGTGTATTTCTGTTACGTTTTACTCAAAATGAAAGTGAAATACATACCAGTTCCATAGAATAGAAATTGATACGGAGCCACTGAGATGATTTAATGCATTGCCTTGATGCATTTTGCCAGAACAAAAGACTAATGTCAGTTTTTGTATCTGAAGTGGGACTCATTTCCAATAACAGTGAGCTCTCCTATGACACAGAAGAGGGTCGTCTTGCCTCATGATGAGCCAGTAAACAACCTGGAACTCAATGTGCTCATGTCAATGCAAATGAGAATCGACTTTTGCCACCAGCCCCCTATTTGCCCTGAAAATTAACGGTTAGGCTATTTCTTCAAATTACTGTGCCCACCATCACCAAGAATTAGGGGATATTGATCAAGAAGGTAAGGTAGGTACCTATTTCTATATACAATATAGATATATAATAATTATAATAGTAGGACATAAATATAATGAAACTCATCGATATCACAATAGCACATTTTGCAGTATATTGTATAGTAAATCATTACCAGTTATTCTTGCATTTTGTTTTTTATTATGCCTATATTGGTATATTATGTCTATTATTTCTAAAATGTATTGTTCTGCCTCAAGCCACCAACTACCTGAATGTTCTACATATGAAAAAAAGCGTTTAGAGCAGGGATCTCCAACTCCGGTCCTGGAGAGCTACTATCCAGTGGGTTTTCTATCATACCCGGCTTCTGATGAGCCACACCTGTTCTCAGGTAAATACCAGGAGCAGGTGTGGCTCATCAGAAGCCAAGTAGGATAGAAAACCTACTGGATAGTAGCTGTCCAGGACCAGACTTGGAGACCCCTGGTTTAGAGTGTCGAGATCTGCTCTGTAGTGGAAGGCGCAAGTAGAAGAAATGCATTACCAACTCATTGCAAAGAAGACAAACAAATAAATAATAAAAAGAGTGTGAAATAAAATAAAGTTTTTGATTTTGTAAAAGCGCTATGTACTTACCGTTCACTATTTTCCTGGTGGTTTGTGTGGTTTATGGTGAAATGGTGTCAGATTTGTTTAAAGAGTAGTGGGTTTTTAATCCTTCTGGATTGTCAGCAATAAGTGATTTGCTGACTATACAGGCTGAGATAAAAGCATAATTAAAATATTTTGTCAGGACTGCAAAAACATCAAAGAGAGAAAGTTGCCTGAGTACTTGCCACATAATAACTGAGATGTTTATTTATACAAGACATAAATTTTTGTTATGTGCAAATAATAAACTCAAGCAAAACATCCAGAAACAAGATGACCTGAGAGGTATTTCCAGTGTGTCTAAACTATATTGACAAAAGTATTGAAAGAATGAAATAATGAAAGAATGGGTCGTTCCTGAGAGCTCAGTGAATTCAAGCATGGCACTGTCATATTATGTCACCTTTGCAATAAGACAGTTTGTGAAAATTATTCCTTTCTAGATATTCCATAATCAACTGTATGAGGTATTGTTGCAAAGTGGAAGCATTTAGTACAACAAAAACTCAGCTGCGAAGTGTCAGACCGTGTAAAGTAATAGAGCGAGTTGCAGAGTGCTGAGGTGCTCTGCTGATTCAATAACTGCAGAGTTCCAAACTTCTTCTGGCATTAAGCCCAGCAGAAAAACTGTGCGCTGAGAGCTTCATGTTATGAGCAGCTGCATGCAAGCCTCAGATCACCAAGCGCAATGCGAAGTGTCGGATGGAGTGGTGTAAACTGCACACTACCAATGGACTCTGGAGCAGTGTAAACGTGTTTTGTGGAGTGACAAATTCTCTGTCTGGCAGTCTGATGGACAAGTCTGGGTTTGGCTAATGCCAGGTGAAGGTTACCTGCCTGACTGCATTGTGTCAACTGTAAAGTTTCGTTGAGGAGGGATAATGGTATGGGATTATTTTTCAGGGGTTGGGCTGGGCCCCTTAGTTCCAGTAAAGGGAACTCTTAATGCTTCAACATGCCAAGACATTTCAGACAATTCTATGCTTCTGACTTTGAGGGAATAGTTTGGGGAAGGCCCTTTTCTGTTCCAGCATGATTGTGTCCCAGTGCACAAAGCAAGGTCCATAAAGGCATGGTTGGGTGAGTTTGGTGTGGTGGAACTTGACTGGTCCGCACAGAGCCCTGACCTCAACCCCATTGAACACCTTTGGGATGAACTAGAACAGAGATTGCGAGCCAGGCCTTCACATCCAACATCAGTGCCTGAACTCACAAATGTTCTTCTGTATGATGGGCAAAAGTTCTCATAGAAGAGTGGTCGCTGCTATAGTAGCAAAGGGGGGACCAACTCCATATTGATGCCTTCTTTTTCTTGTTCTTTTTTTCCCGGTTGCTCCCATTAGGGGTCGCCACAGCAGATCATCTGTTTCCATTTCTTCCTGTCCTCTAGATCTTCTACTTTCACACCTACCACCTGCATGTCCTCTCTCACCACATCCATAAACCTCCTCTTAGGCCTTCCTCTTTCACACCAAACACCTGCATGTCCTCTCTCAGCACGTCCATAAACCTCCTCTTAGGCCTTCCTCTTTTCCTCTTGCCTGTCAGCTCTATCCTCAGCATCCTTCTCCCCACATACCCTGCATCTCTCCTCTGTACATGTCCAAACCAACGCAATCTCTAGCTTTGTCTCCAAACCATCCAATCTGAGCTCTCCCTCTAAATTGCTCATTCCTAATCCTGTCCATCCTCGTCAGTCCCAAAGCAAATCTAAACATCTTTATCTCTGCCACATCTGGCTCTGCCTCCTGTGTTTTCATTAGTACCACCGTCTCCAACCCATTCAACATAGCTGGCCTCACCACCATCTTGTAAACCTTCCCTTTCACCCTGAAACTTGCTGTCACAAATCACTCCTACCACTCTTCTCCACCCTGCCTGCACTCTTTTCTTCACCTCTCTTCCACACTCCCCATTAGTCTGAACTGTTGACCCGAAATATTTAAACTCCTCCTCCTTTGCCAACTCTACTCCCTGATGGCTATGGATTTAGAACCGGATGTCATAAATGTTCCTGTAGCTGTAATGGCCAGGTGTCCCAGTACTTTTGTCCAAATAGTGCATAGTTCCCTTAGAATATGCAAAGTTTCCTTTAATGATGGGCCATTGATGAGTGCATTCCACTTGATGATTTAATGGGATTCATTTATTTATTGCATGATGTATATTTATACCACAGCGGATGTGGCTAGTTGAAGGAAATAGTCAGTCTCTGTCTTTACCAACCTGTTTCAGTTCAGGTAGTTTTGATCTACTGAAACGTAGCTGCCTGAACATCACAAAGCAAAGGGGGTGAGAGGCAAGTTTAGCACTGACAACTGGAATCGCTTTTCTCTTAAATTGATGGCTACATTATAAGCATATGCATATACATTCACTTCATTAATACTTCTTCTTCGTTAACCACTGCACTTAATTTCTTTTTTAAGCTTTCACAGTCTCCAGTGACCACCAACCATGGCAGTGATGCAGCAGATCACCACAGTCTCTACTGCACAGAGCTCCGGAGACTGGAGCACAGGGCTGTGCGACTGCTTCTCCGATATGGATACTTGTAAGTCTGGCACCGTGCAAGAACCCGTCGCATTCCCTGCGCACAAGAGCGCTGCTAAACATTTTTTTTCTTTGAACACCTTCAAATGAGTAGTCAAAGTGCGTATATATTCCTTATGGGAAATTCTATGTGTGGATATATGCTGTTGCTAAAATCTGTCCATTTGATCATCTCACTTGAAGACTTTTGGACACCCCACTTCAACCATTTGTATTAACGTATTTACACAACTGTATCTAGCCAATGATTTTGTTTAAAATGCACAGTGACAGATATGCAAACGGCCTCAAATGTTAAAATGAATTGTTTGTTTTAGGCTCTTTTGTGGTTAGACCATGATAATAGTGAAGCATCAGAGAGCTGGCGGTTATGTGCGATAGTGCCTCCCTCTGCGATGCCAGGAATGCCAGTTTCCAGCTGAGGTACTTCACAAAAACTGTACAATATGGCCTGAAATCATCTCAAAATTGGTTGATGTGTATTGGGTAGTTTAAAGAATCTGAACAGGATTTGCAGGTTTTTCAGTGGCTGTTAAAGTCCACATTTCCCGTAAGAATCTAACAAGGCTGTAGTTTTGCTTGCAGATTCCAACATTAATCCTCTTTGTGCTGAAAGGCGTCAATCTGCTTCTATCTGGTCCTGTCTTGGGGTACGTGTTCTGCTTTGCCTCATGTTAGGTCCATCTCCTTCAGCTCTTTCATCACAACTTGGCACCAGGTTGTTGTAGGCTGACTTTGTTTGGGCTTCCCAGGTGGCATCCATCGTGGAACAACCTTTGGTAGACAGTTCTGGTCCTTAGCCAAGCCATCTTAAGCGTCGGCACTTGATCTCCAGCACTACGCTTTGTGTTCTTGTAAAGGTCTTCATTAGAGATCTTCTCGGGCCAAAAGATATGACAGATCTTCTTGAGATATCCATTGTTGAAGGCATCGATCTTGTTCATATAACCCTTTACAACATGGCAGCATTCGGAGCCATACAGAAGAACAGGTTTGACACTGCTGTTGTAGAGTCTGACCTTTGTTCTTAGGCTGTGCTCTTTGGACTTCCAGATGGACTGAAGTCTTGCGAATGCACTATGTGCTGTTCTATGTCTTGCTCTGATGTCCATTGGTGCTGTATTGTCCTTATTAACAAGACTGCCAAGATATGTAAACTCCTCAACGTATTCAAGTGGAGCATCATTTACTGTAATAAGTGCACTAGGGTTGACATTTATGCACATCACTTGTGTTTTAGAGTCACCTGTTTGCTTGGCAAAGGGGTTCAGTCTGTCAGTCTTCTCCTACAAATGGGGTAATTTGGTGTAAGCTCTTTGGTGGTGTTTGGGGATGTGAAATATAGAAACATCAAGATGTTTCCTCTGTACCTTATGCTTGACTACTTTCCTCAGTTTCAACTTGATGGTTGTAGTAACAAGGTAGTGGTTAATGTAAACATTAGCTCCACGGCAAGCTCGAACATCAAGAAGGGACCTGTGCCACTTCCTGTTAATGAAGATGTGGTCGATCTGGTTGGTGGTGGAACCGTCGGGCAACTTACACGTTAGCTGATGGATGTTTTTGTGTAGGAAGATGGTTGCTGTCTATGCAAAAGTCAACTTGTTCGCCATTGTCATTCATGACACCACACCATAGCTCTCTCACAGTCGGTATCGTCAGCTCCGACGTTGGCATTCATGTAACCCATGATCAGTAGCTTATCTTGCATAAGTGTTATGTAAGTTTCTCTGGCTAAGGACGTCTGCCAAATGCTGTAAATGTAATATCATGTTGTGGGACTGCTCATCATAGTGCCTCATTCCAGTCATCCTTGTCCTCCTCATCTGCCTCATTTGTTGGTGCATAACATTGCAGGATGCAATATTTAGAGCTGAAGCATGCTCTGATTAGCTGGTCTCTCAATGCTTCCCATTCCAGTAAGCTGTTGACCTTCTCTTTGGAAAATATACGGGCCGCACCGCAGATGTCCTGGTTTTCTTGTCCAGAGTGCAGGATTACTGATCCATCACTGTTCGTTCATTATCTAGAGCCTGTCCATTGCCATTCACTAATCCCAAGAATGTCCAGCTTGCCCCGCTTCATGTCAGTGATGACCTGCGCTGTTTTGGATGTTTCAAACATGGTGCGGACATGTCATGTTCTTAGGGGGATATTAGTTTTGGGCCTGAATAGGTAATCTGTCATACCTATGATTCCTGTTGGGGGCATTCATCAGAAGTAGTCATACTGCCAGTTATTAGGCTCAAGTCCACTACAGGGTCCATAAATGTAGCATTTGTCATTGTTTCCATAACTTGATGGTAGTTTTTTGGGGTGGGGTCGTTGGTCCCATGCCTAACCCCCAACCTGGGGGAGCAGATGCTGAATTTCATCTGGTCTCTATACTGAAACCTGCCCATCTTGATTGAAGCTGCCAGGGGCAAAGTATCCACCAGCATAGCTCTCAGTGGTCATCAAGACCACCATGAGAAGGTACCAGCACAGGGGAAGTGCAGGTTCCAAACTGTGATCTTTTGTTTACTTGCTGAAAGTAAATGTCATTTTACTTCTGAATTTTGATCAAATTTACAGTAACGCTTTACATTAACTGCACCATCATAATATGTTTATAGCACATTCATAGAATATTCATAAGCAGCAAGTACAGCTTAACATCCTAACATACCTTAATAGCTTTAGTATACATTAATAACAAACATTATATACAATCGTGTATGTTATTAATACGATGTTTGTTATTAATTTATATGTTTGTCACAGACTGTGTCTATAGTCTCTCTGTTTACTTACCATATGGGCTGTGTTTGTCCACACACTGACCAGGAAGGAATCCACATTGTTCCACCTGAATCCTAGGCACACCTCTCTGTCAGTCCTGAGGTACTTAACCATCCTTCTATGAAACCTTGGAGATGTGTGTCAGCCATGTCACCTGAACAACATCCAGTGCTTTCAACATCTCTGGATGGATTTCATCTACCCCTGCAGCCTTTCCATCAGGGAAACCACTGACTCAACATATAGCAACATCTGCTGCAGTAATAAACTATTTTTGACATTGCCTCCTGGTGAGAGGGGGAGTCCCCTTAGCTGTCAGACTCAATGGCCCTGATCTCTCTGCATTTTGGGAAGTGTGACTTGATTTCATCTTGCACAGAAGCTTCAGCCAGATATTCGCTTCTTATCTTGATCATCTTAATCCATCTGCCCCCCTCCCTGCCCAATCCAACTCACCGTCGAGTGATAATGGGTTGATAGCTCTGCCCCTCTCTTCACTTGAGTGCCAGAAACATACAGCTCCTAGTCTAATGTCACAATGACATAGTTCATTACTGATTACTAATATGCCCGAACGTGTACCCACTCAACAGAGAACTACCTTTGGACAGAAGCTGAAATCTTCTCGTGTATAATCTGAGGATGTCAGAGTTATATATTTTATTTGTTTTTAGTTCATGATGTGGGTTAGCATGTTTACTTGATTATAGTTTTAAACTTATGTCTGCACAAGGAGACCAGCGTACTACCGTCAGTGTTTATCACACTTGCAGTTTACCATGCGTTTCTTTTCTTTCACAGGTTGCTGTGGAACTTGGTGCTTTCCTTGCATGCAGTGTCAAACAGTCTCTCAGTACGGCTGGTGCTGTCTTTACCCAGTACTGGATTCAGAGTGCATGGTGGTGTCCTGCCTTTTCCGCCAGTCAATGAGGGATCGCTATGGCATCCAGGTAAGGGTGAGGGGTTGCGCTGAAGGAATAATTCCCGGCAGATGGACCAAGTTGTCTCTAGGTTCTTCAGAAAGTGGGTGTAGGTACTGAAATATCCATCCATCTCCCATACCCACTTATCCAGGACAGGGTCTGACTACCTTCAGAATTCTTTATTGTCATTGCACAATGTACATACAATGAAATACTGTTTAGTTCACCTAATAATGGCAGCATCAGTAAACAACAACAAAGACACATGTCAAAGGACATTTACAGAAAAAATAAACCATAAATAATTAACTCAAGCCTGGGATCTTTGGTAATAAGGTGGCGTTGTATGGATATAAAGTGGCAACTCTGTAAATAACAGTCCAAGGTGGCAGCATTAGTCTTGGAGTTTGGCCCCAGCTCTTCAGCAGAAATCTGTTCTTCATCCTCGGAGTTGGTATCTGTATGGCGCTGTAGGGTTTGCCAGATGGTAGGGAGGCAAATAGGTGACATCCAGGGTGAGTGGGACCTGGGATGAAGCCTTGGGTCCTCCAGTGGAGTCCGCCGAGGTAGAGCTCCCTCTAGGGCGAGCCTAGGAAGCACAGAGCAGAGGACAGCTGGGACAGGATGCCAGACCATTGCAGGGCGACCACATCCATCCATCCATTTTCTGTACCTGCTTATCCTATTCAGGGTCACCCTGCGATGAAGAGTGGTCATCCCTACCATGACGATTTTGTGCTAGTAGAGAGTTTAGCATATTGCGCAGGGTGTGCAATTCTCATGTGTGTAAGCATAGTTGTTGTATCGATTCCTTTTTTTTACACAGATGACACTATTAGTTTGAGCTGACTCACCTTTTTTAATTTAAAACCAAAATACAGTAGAAACCACTTATAGTGATCATGCCTGTCTGGGTGAAATTGATCACTATAACTGGATGCCCATTACAACAGGTTTTTTCCTTCATATCTCAGGCAGATACCCAAATAATTGACATATTCATGTATTAAAAATACAAATAAGGTAATAAAATAAACAGCATCACTATTTACTTAATTTTACTGATGATTTCAAAATACAGTATAGCTGTTTCAAACATTTTACAAGTTACAGTACAAATTAAATTACTGTCACGGACCCAGGGCATGATGCAGGCATAAAAAGGTGACAATCCACTTGCAGCTCAGAGACAAACAAGGGTTTATTGATTTAAACAAAGAACTCTGGAAAAAGAAAAACCTCAAAATAAACTGTTAAAAAGAAAAGGGATCAAAAGAGAAGTACGAAAATAAACAGAGACAAACAAACTATAGAAACCATAACTAAACACAACCAAGTAGCAGGACTAGGAAAACCAAGCAACGCAACATTAGCACAGAAACCTAAAACAATGACTCACTAGAAAAGAAAGCAGAACAGGCACTTAAATACACAGAAAAATGGGGCAAACAAGGAACAGGTGTAAGACAATCAATTAACCAATCAACAAACACTGGCACAAGGAAACAGGTGGAACTAATATCTAAGGGGCATAGAAACTAGAGAGCTGTGCAAATACAAAAAACTAGGAAACAGTAATTGGGAATTAAACACTAAGAATAAAACACAAGGATAATCAAACAGAACCAGAAAAGGAACAGAACATAAGCACTACCTAGGGCAGGGGTGCCCAACTCCAGTCCTGGAGAGCCTGAGCCCTGCACATTTTTGGGTTTCCCCTCATTTAACACACCTGATTCAACTCCTTGTGCTAATTACCACACAGCTCTTGAGCTGAATCATTTATGGTGGAACAGGGAAAGAACTAAGCTACACAGGGCTCCGGCCCCCCAGGACTGGAGTTGGGAACCCTTGACCTAGGACAAGAAAACTAATATGGAAAATAAACACTGAAAAACAAAATTCAAGAAATAAAAATAAACAGATGAAGCTGGCCTAAAGCCAGCCTCAAACCCCAACCAGTATGACTCAGTGCGAGCCACACACTCAGCCCACTGAGCTATATGGCAGTTTGGAAAACCAAAGTAAGCGAGTAAAAAAAATAATTACCATGTTTTAGTTTTTTTCTATGTGTTGTTATATTTAAAAGGACTCAAGATGAACACTGTAAGTGGGCTACTTACTATAAGCAAATTACACCATGTAACACAGTTTTTGTGTCTGTGAAATAACTATTAGTTCCTGTTAGCTTATATATCCAAATGATAGAAAATAACTTTAATTTCAAAATAACTTTGATTTTGTGGTCAGGACATCAATAGTTCAGAACACGCATTAGATAACATTAACAGCCTTTGCAAGACTTCAAATTTTTTTTACAAAATCTTCTGACTTGTGTCCATATAGTCCAATTAAACTTAAAAATTACATGTCCTTTTAGACTGATGATTGTAAACTAAGTTCCTGTCACGAACAAGACCCCAGATGTAGTCCCCCATCATATTCTCGTTGTATTGTCCTTGGTATCGACGCTCAAATTCCTTGAGATCTTGGTGGAATCTTTCTCCTTGTTCCTCTGAGTACGCTCCCATGTTCTCCTTAAAATTTTGTAGATGAGCATCCAGGATGTGCACCTTTATCGACATCCTACACCCCATAGCCTGATAGTTCCTTACTAGTGTCTCTACCACATCCACATAATTCTCGGCCTTATGATTTCCGAGGAATTCCCGTACTACTGCGATGAAGCTACTCCAAGCTGCCTTTTGGACCTGTGGTCCAACAAAGATACCAGCTTTTTCTTTAGCCTCAGACAGCTTGGGAAAGAATTCTTCTAGGTAGCCATGTCAACGACATCTAGCGATATTTCCGACTGATGTTACAGCAATTACATTGCTGTATGTTTAGACTTTATATATACAATAGCTTGGCACCATAACTTACTGCCATTGAACGACAGAATTATTAGCAGTGACTCAAACCAGGTTTTGCTGCAGTGATGCTATACTTATGGCCATGACTGCATACAAAATGTTGGACAGAAGTGACAAAACCAATGTTTTGACTCAATGGATGATTATTACTAGCTGCTTTTGGCCCAAGCAACACAAAAATAACATTGTCTTGCCAGGAACAAAACAAATTTTTTTTTTTGTTGCCTTGTGTTATTTATAAAGTATTTGTACAGGAATGATTCTGTCTCAAGCATTTTGATCAATGAAAGCAGCTGATCACTATAACCGTGATCACTATAAGTGGGTTTCACTGTATTGCTAAACATTTTTTAATTGCATTTTTAGGTGCAACAAGGTCAGTAAAGCAACGAACCTACAAGCATGTTTGACATCATCTCCGGAATCTCACCTTTTTGGTGGAGTGTGCTTATCCCAGAACAAAAACAAGGATTTTTCATGTTTGTTTTTTAATCCAATATCAACCTTTGACAAGGTGAACACAGCACTAGTTGTAACTAACTAGGGCTGTCGCTATCGATTATATTAATAATCGATTAATCTACCAATTAATCTGACGATTCATCAAGTAATCGTGACAGCTCTGTAACTAACAATGAAAACTCTTTCATACACATTGGTGCTGCTTACCAAGATGAGGTCTATGGTCACTTTTTATATATATTGATTAACCCAACAGGAAACCTGATTTTCTTCCGGCTTCCTGTAGCTGATTGGATGGATCATTTACTTGGGTTAGGTAAAGGGTTTGCTGGCTTTGAAGGTGGTCTGGTGAACCTAATGGTGCTTCTTCATCCCCTCAGGGCTCATTCTTCAGCGACTGCTGCACGCTCTGCTTCTGCTATCACTGCGCGTGGTGCCAGATGACCCGGGAGGTGAAGAGACAGGCCCAAAGAGGAGGGACCACCACTGTCATCGCCCAGCAGGTCGTGTCATAGAGGGCAGGACCCAGATTGCCCTGTTCCCACACAAGTGGTGCTTTGTAAGGGAGCAGAATTCCATAAAGCCAAAGTAGAACCCATGCAAATGTAAACAGGTTTCTCACTCATATATTAATGAGCTTTTTATTAAAATAATATCTTAACCTTAGAAGTGTAGATTCCTCATTTTCATCTGGATATTTTATATTTCTTTTTTACATTACATGGGCAGACTGAACAGTTCGCTCCTAAGCAGTCATTCCTAGCTATATTTTTCATTCCTTTGTCCATTAAAAACATGCAACAGTCAGGCTGTTTTGCCCATCGATGTTTATTCCAGCTGCATTCATCACTCTCTATCTCTTGCCCATCATTACTCGACTTGGGGAGCACTGAAACCGTCACACACACACACACACACACACACGCACACACACACACACACACACACACACACGGGCAGAAATAACATTAGATCTATGCATAGATGCTTAGAAAGATCAGGAAGTTGAACAATTAGTCCACTGACACACACACATGCAACCTGAGATCTCAATCCTTCAAGGTCCCTGCCATTTATATTCTGTTTTCACAGTTCTTACCACCAATACTGTTTTAGTTTTGTTTAGTTTTTTTTGTGCAACTTATGCAACAATAAAGCCCATTAAGGATGTTTGAGTTCTGTGAATCATTAGCCACCTCCTGTAGCATTTCCAGGCAGCAAACTGCAGCCCTTGCTTCCTTAGAACCTCAACACACAGTAGCTTGGAGCACACAGGACACACAACTGAGTGACACATGACTGAACTCCCTGCACATGTAAAACACAGTGATGTGGGGACCTGCCTTGGGGACCTCCTGTGATGGCATGGGTGGAACCAGATGGAATTCACACCAAGAAGGAACTGAAACCCACCGATTTTTACAATTGTGCCTCACAGGTACGACTGTGTCTCACAGGTATGTGTGTGCGTGATTAAATCAAGCAGAGGAAATGTGCTGGTGAGAGGCAAATACATTTTTCTTTCTCTTTGTCCACATGGTTTTAGTAATGCCACAGTTCATTTAGAAACTGATAAAAACACATAGTGTGATTTTGTGTGACTGTAGTGTGACTTTGTCACCAACTGAATTTCTATGGGACTGGCCCACCTGGTTTAATGCCGGCCCTCCCCCATAACTATTTGTGGCACTGTTATTGGTGGGGACTGACACTGAGCTGAGCCACAGGAGGAAAGAGAAAGTGATTTATTTGGGGACAGGAGTGGAGTAATTAAAACTATAGGAACAAATGCAGTTTCTGGATCAGGACAGGGGTAAACAATCCAGGCCTATTATCACAGTGAGCCGCACTGTATTTTTTCCATTTTTTTGACATATTTCCTTTTTTCTCCAGTGCTCATACTTCTCCAGGCTGTGCAACAAGAAGTTCACAAAGTTTGGGAGTAGATAGACAGCGAGCTGGGTGCCGTGCAGGGCGATAGTTTTGCAGGCGACGCTGTTGCGCCGGTTCAGCACTCCCAGACGTCGGCTCTCTTGAAAAGTCCTGATATAGCTGAAGATGATCACAGCTAAGCAAGCAGTTATTAAAAGTATTTTGTGAATCTCGCCTTTCCTTGGATGCTCTCTGTCGCAACAATCATATGTGACATCATCTAACTTAAAGAAAAGACTCAGGGGGTGTTAGGGAACGGCACCCGGAAGCAGGCAAGGGAGCCGTGGATACGGACAACAGTCTTTATTACGGGAGAAACACTTCAGAACTGAGGTAACATTAATGACAGGACTAGGGAAACAAACTGGAACACGGACTAAATACAAACGGACTGATGACAGGCAACAGCTGGTGAACACGGGGTTAACGAGGGGGCAGGACGAACCCCAAGTCAGCAGTCCGGTGAACCACGGCCACTGCCACAAGCATGTGGAACTGTACTTCAGCGGCCATTTGTCATATTTTTCTCCATGATAGCACTTGTTTGCTGTAGTTTCAAGTGCCCTATAGTTTCAAATGCTGTAGCATTTCTATTTCGACTTCCTTAATTTCCACAAAATGTCCACAAAAATCTTCTCACTTCTCGCAAGAATGCACGTGTCCTGACGAGGCTGAAGTTGGCTACTTGTTAGCAGGATGCCACTTTAAACAGGGGATGTTAACTCCACAAGCAGCTCAGGCAGCGGCATATTGAGGTCTGTCATACATGCAGAGGTCATTACTGTTCCAGGAGTCAGCTGTGGCAAAAGAACAACTGAAGTGAAATGGAAGGACTGTAGTGTAAGGGGCTACACATGCGCAGAGAACAAAGAAACATGTACTCTATTGCTTTCAAAGTGTAGTTTACCTGTTTAATGTGCTTGAAAAAATGTCTATGCATATATTTGTGCATGATCTATGTTTCATAATTGTCAATCTGTTCTACATCTAAACGTTTAATGTACATTTAAAAAGATAAGCACATAGAAGTAATGATGCGATTTGGATGTAGTGCAGACCTGTGATGGGTATGTAAATGATTCGATTTGCAAGGAGTTGGCACGTCTAGTAACCAGACACAGAGGATGCCTCATAGGTGCATTAGACAGCATGACCAGCACTTGACGGAGTTTGATATTGGTCGCATTGTGGGTTTGCATGAAGCCGAGGTGTCGTATCGTGAGAGCACCCACACACGTTGTGAAGGTTCCGGACATCGAAGACAGACTACAGCAAGGGAGGATCATGGTATTGTGCGCCGAGCATTACAGAACCCCATGACATCTGTGTCTGCCATCCGGACAACAACATGCTGCTGCCATCCCGCCCCATGTCTCGACGACTGGCGTCAGCCGGACTACAGGTTCACCGTCCCATGGGTAGGCTGCCGTTAACACCAGCACAGAGACGGCTGTGTTTGGAGTGGTGCTGTAACCAGGAGGCATGGACTGATGATGAGTGGCGTCGTACCATGTTTAGCGATGAATTTTGGTTCTGCATTACTATGGATGATCTTCATGTGCTCGTATGGCAGCGCCAAGGGGTAAGGACCAATCCTGCTAATGTTACGGAGAGACGTCTGCGTCATGTTGAGGTCCTCCTGTGACCAGGCAGATCCTCCAATCTTTCCCCAATGAAAAATGTGTGGGATCAGCTCAGACGTCAACTCAGATCCAGTGCCAATCTGCAGGATCTCGAGGGTCAGTTACAACAGCCGTGGGCCGACTTGCCGCGGGAGAGGATACAATGGCTGTACGACTCCCTTCCCCTCTGTATCGCCGCATGTATCCAGGCCCAGGGGGGGTGCCACACCCAACTGACATGGGACCAGCAGTGTGCCCATACTGCCAACTCTGTTGTCCATTTGATCTGATGATATAATCATCGCGATGCAGTCACATGACCTTTCACCACGTGTAAAGGTCTATGAAAATGCTGCTATTTATATCAGACAGATAATTCCAGCCCATCTCTACAGCCATCTCCAGGACCCCGGGGTTGGCGCTCAGCTGGTCCAGCATGGTGCTGGTAAATATGAGCTCATCTTCATCAGTTCTACACCTCTTGGCATCCACATTATCGGTGTGCGGAGATTGAGCCTCAGATCTTTGATTCCTCCATTGCTTGTAGCTGTAAACTGCAGTCAGGAATTCATTCCATAGCTGTTAACAGTAGTAACAGGCTAAGCATTTGGCCTCATAGTTATCCAACAGATCAAATCTTTCCATTTTCTCCACAATAAGAGAAGGCGACATAAACAGGGGTCTCAGACCCATTATCAGCTGAAACGAGGGGGCTGTATCCTGCGCTGAAACCGGACACAGAGGGGTGGGATGAACCCTGACTGGAGCTGAAGATGGACCTGGAGCTAGGCTTACAGGTGAAACTACTCACAGGGATGAAGGAAAGTCCGTAAAAAGAGATGGGGAAGGAGATGACACAAAAGAAGATGGGACTGGCAATGGAAATAAGAAGGAAGTGGACGAAAAGGTTGGTGAACAGGACTCGGCGCATGATGTTAGCAATCTCGACACTCTGGGTGAGATCCTTGCACGGGATCTTGTTGCCTTATGGGTTGAATCGAAGGGATTCCCTAACTTGTTGTTATTGGAACATAGCAGCTTTTGTAAATTCTTGGTAAATGGCCCCTTCTGTCTTTTAAATGTATTTCTTTGAAAAGCCTTGCATCATCCTGCACCCTGCTGACCCCTGCTGGTTGCCACCGGGATAGGAGCAGATCCAGTGGTGGCTGTCCATATATTATCAAAACGAGGTATAGAATGACACAATTCAGTTTATGTCGATATGATTTTGTCGTTTTTTTTTTTTTTTTATTATGGCTCTATTAAAAATTTTGAATAGAGACTAAAACTATCCCAGTTTGGAAGTAAGGAGCTTTGTCGTGACTTTGCACAGAATCCAAGAATTCACAACGAAAAGTGGCCCATTCAATTAGTGAATCACAGGGAATTTGATAGAGGGGAAGGGCAAGGAATCATTATGTTTCACATGTGATTTTGATTGAATATTTAGCACACTTGATAGGAAATTTCATGTATCGCTAATTTGCCTAAAATGCAGAGATATACTGTATATCTATACCGTTATCGCGATATTATGTTTTGTCATTGTCTGTATAGATTCTCAAAGACACTGTA